CGGATCAAAGCATACACAAAACCATGGCAGAAACGGTATGATATATATATTTGTGTGTGTTAATTTATCTTTTAATGCATCCTCTTAATGTGGGTTTTCTTCTTTTTACGTGGAGGTCCTATATATGTTACAAGTTCTTGATATATAATCTCTACAGCGGATTCTTCCATCTCAGAACATGTTTTGAGTTCTTCCAATCTTTCTGTCTATAAATTTATCACGACGACGTTTTCTTATGTTTTCTATTGGGATTAATCATGGTGAGGTCCTATATGAAATGCATGCACTAACTACTACTGTTACAGAAAATCACAACGATGGAGATTAAGGTGGTTGACCTAGGATGCGAAAAATGCCACAAGAAAATCAAGAAAGTACTGTGTGCTATCCCTCGTGAGTCTTTCTTTTTTCTCTTTAAGAACAGTGCTAGGTTTGAGTTGTTTTTATTACCAAAGGAAGTGACTTAGTTTTGTGGATTTGATGATGTTAATTAACGAACAAGAGAAATCCAGAACCAGATATATGACAAGAAGGCAAACAAAGTGACAATCACTGTGGTGTGTTGCTGTCCTGAAAAGATCAAGAAAGAAATATACTGCAAAGGAGGTAAAGCTGTCAAGTGCATTGAGATTCCACCTCCAACTCCACCTCCATCTCCACCTCGTTGTCAATGTCCACCACCACCAACCCCACCATGCACATGTTGTGGAAAATGCCGCCGAGGCCCATGTTGTTTTCACTTTTGTATGCTAACAGTACCTCCATATTGTTATGTACCTTGTAGAATGTCAGTGTGTGATGTATGGGGAGATGGTTGTTGTAGTTGCCGAAGTAGGGGTTACTATGTGTGCAGAAGTGCATAAGGGGTTACTATGTGTGCAGAAGTGCATATGTTTGTGAAGAGTACTATACCTCGGCGCCATGCACAATCATGTAAAGGGAAATCAAGTTCAGAAGACCGATGGTTTGAGTCAACGTCCAGCATCAACCGTTGGATTCAAATCCAGTGGTCATGATGGGCCTTCGTGCTGTTGTGTTCATAATATCATTCCTTTTGTGCTGCTGCTGTTGTTTTGACCTCTTTCATCCAAATGATGCACGACTTTGTGCCTAGCTAGTATTTCAAGTCAATGGTCACAGTTTTCCATTGTTAAATGGCTTGTTATATGTTTGGTCAGCAAATATGGGAGGCTTGACTACCTAGTCTTTGTTTTTTATGCTCTCTTATCTTTGTACAGTCCCTTTGCATGTTTTCTTCCAAATTGCTATTATTTGTTTCAAAAAACCCTCTCCATCAATTCTCTAGTCATTTTTTGCCGGATAAATGCCCAGAAACATCATTCGATCGTGCTTTGTCAATTATAATATTTTTTTTAGATAATATTTAAAAAAAAATATTTTTAATATCAATACATTAAAATTATATGAAAATACATAAAAAATTATTTTTAAAAAATTATTTTTAAAATAAAAAATCTTTTAATCTAGGTATCAATACTGAAAATTACTATTTAAAATGCATAGCGCGATGCGACAATATATTTTTGTTTTAAAAACACAGGTAGTGTCATGGTGCTCCTATTCCTAACCAGACTTAAAATAATAAAATAAAAACCCAAAATCTCACATTAGCTATCCATCCAAAATACAATAAGATTAAAACCCCAGGTTCGACGTCTAAAGACTGGCTATGAGCCTATAATATTATCCCAATGCAAATTTTGTTAATTAATTGATAATATATCTTTCGTTCCATAAAACCTTATAAACAAACTCATATAATTTATAAGATTTGACGCAGAGAGACCATCTTGTGTCATTAAACAATGAGGTCAACAAGGCTGGTGAGACGTATAAATATCATTGTACGGTTACACGCATGTGAACTTATTGCTGATAAAAGCAAAAGGTTCCATTTTCCAATGGTGATGGTGATGGTGCGTGCACCTCCGTTTCTTTCACTCTCAGTTGCTTTCTTCAGTCTCTGACCGTATGATTGCTTCTGTGGTGTTAACCCACAACAGTATAAACTGCATAAGGTGTTACTTGCAGCCCTGTTTTAGCCCCTGGGCTTCTAGCCAGTCCTGGTATAGCCATGTGAGCGATGGGCTAATTAATACATATAATGGATTGGTCCATGGCTTTCCTTGAATTCTCTACCTTCATGAGACGCAGAGTAGAGGCACGAACTTGTAATTAGATCCATGTGATTATCACGCGTCCCCTTATAAAATTTAGAGGGGTTAGTGGTGGCCCATGTTATCATTACTATGGTAGGCCGGCACCCCCAATTTATGAAATTTATGGAAGGCCAGTGCATCATAGTTGGGGTCGTTGCCAAAGAAGCGGCTACTATGCGTGCAGATGTGAATATGTTTGTGAAGATTATCCCTCGTCATGCACCATCATGTGAAAGCATCAAGAATGTCGATGCTTTAAGCCGATCTCCACCAAAAATCAGTGGATGACGAGGCATACACACTAGACATTAGTATGGTGTCGATATGATCAAATTAAACAATAGCATTACTCATGCTCATGTCTTAATCTTGTCTAGATAGCTCTAGTTATCTATGTTGAAATGTTGGGGTCAGTTTTAGCGGGTATATAGGTTTTTTTTAGATTAATGTGGGTATTCGGGCTAGTTTATATGTATCACGATTAATCCTATGGGTCCTGAAGTTAACGACCATGTAAGTCTCCAGTGGCTATCATATGAGCAACTAAGAACTCGAATATGAGACCACAAAGAAAATAAACCCTTTAATTTTAAGTTCTTATCATTTAACCACCATCTAGATAGTTATGGATCTTCTTTCTTGGTTATAAAGGTTTTATGTGATACAGTAAGGTTGGTAATGTGAGAATATTTTATTACAAGAGATGTTAAGATTTTTAATAAATTAATATAATGGATTTTAAAGCCTCCTTAATCATTGCTATTTGTACCTATAGTGATGGTGCGTCTCAGCATCTCCTTTGCATTCACTTTCTATTAGCTTTCTTTAATTTCTGACAATTAACCGGTCGATGGCTTCAGTTTGTAATTGTTATCAAGCTTCGCTGTCAGAAATTTAGATCATGCATGATCCATCTAGAGAATGGAATGTGGACTGTCATGATCCTATCACTGTTCTTGGCGATAAGAATTCCCTTGAATTTATCAAGGGACCTTAGTACTGTTGTTGTGTTTATAATATCATCCCTTTTGTGACGACGCTGCTGTTCTTCTGACCTCTTCCGTCTAGATGATGCACGCCTTAATTTGTTTGTGCCTTGCTAGTATTTTCAAGTCAATGTCGGTGGCTGGGTACATGTTTGGTCGACAAATACGGGAGGCTTTGCTACCTCCTCTTTGTTTTTTATTGTCTCTTAGTCTTTGCAAAGTCCTCCTATTTTGTCCTTTTGGATGTTTTCTTCCAAAGTTTTAGTAGTTCGGCAATGGTGGTTTTTTTTTATAATGCTCTTTTTTAAATATATTGAAGTAGTAATTTTTTTAAAAAAATATTTTTAATAACAAACGTAAAAAAACTAGATTTTTAAAATATATTAGAACAATATGTTTATTTTTTATTTTTTATTTTTTGAGATTTATCTTTTAATCTAAAATATCAAAATAATTTAGAAATATATAAAATAAAAATTCATTTTTTTTTAAATACAGTTCATTGTAATTTCAAACCTTAAGAGATGTAGCTTAATTAGTCGGTATTATTTACTTTTTATATATTATTATTTTAAATTTTATAAATTTTAGAATTATTAAAAATTTATTTAGTTTAAAAATACATGTAAGATAACTAAATTCAGATATTAATTAAAAGAAGAAGAAGAAGAAAGTTTGCGGACGCAACTTCAAGACCCACAATTTGTGAACTTTCTTCTCGATGTCCGCACATAGGGATGAGGAGATAGCCATCCCTAACGTATCATTAGAAAACATGAATCATTGGGTTTCTTTCTCATTTTCATATATTTTATTAATATATAGATGTTTGCGTTTAGATTATATGCACCATGATGGGAATTGTTAATATTTTATTAGTTATTTTGTAAGATTTATTTTTAGAAAAAATATAAATAAAAGATAGAATAATAAAAGTATCCCAACTTATTATTTCCCTTGTATTATCCTTTTTTAAAGCAAACCAACTAATTACTTTACATGTATCATAAAAAATTAATCGAATGCGGACAAGTTGTTAAAGAGATATGTGTTCTTATGTTACTCTATAAATTCAAATTTTGAAACAGAGGAGTTCGTTAGAATTAAAACACTTAAAAATATTTATGTGTTAGTGTATGACGGATGATAAAAATAAAAATATATAAAATAAAATTGTTTTTGTAATATTTTTAAAATAAATTTACAATGATTCATGTTTTCTATGCCTCCTCTTTATTAATTATCTTTACTTTTTAATTTTGATCAGGAAACAACAATCAAACACCGGCTAAATTCTTTTAACATGAGATTTGGAAATATTAATTGAAGATTTTTTAATTTTTTATGGGGAATTTTTTGGGTACACGAGTACGGTTGTCATGGGGGTTGCATGGCTCCTTTATTGACATGACTAAACTAATGCACCGTAGGATGCACTGCAAACTTCGAAATGATTAACAAAATTGAAGGTGAGATGTGTCCATCAAAGCCAGCACATGCATGTGCATGATTGGAGGGTCAGCAATTAAAAATAAAACGACAATATCAAGTCAAGCTCAACACCCATTCCACGTGTTCTCTTCTTATCGGCTTCTCGTTGCACGGTGTTTAACTGCGTCCCCATACTCCTACTACTTAATCGTGATCGATCTTCATTTTATAAACCTCGTTTTGGTATCTCAATCTCCCTCTCACCCTCTGGTCCGTTCCTTCGCTCTGCTCTCAATTCTATCATCTCATCAGGTTCAGATCAAGGCTTGGACAAAACCATGGCTGAAAAGGTGTGTGCATGGATGGATGTGAAGATTTTGATATACTTCCTTCTTCTTCTTTTCTTGGGTTCGATTTATCTTTTATTTAGCCCATTCATCTGGCTTTTTATTCTTTTTATGCCGTACTGGTCATTGTTTTTTGGCCCTATGGATCTCTTCTTCTTTTTCATTATCTTTACAGATCAATATCCTTCTATGTCAGAAAGTGTTCCAGTCCTTTCAATATTCGTCCAGGCTTAGAAATTATGTCCTTGTTTCTATGTGCTCCTATTGCAGAAAGTCACAAAAATGGTAATCAAGGTTGACCTCGGATGTGAGAAATGCCACAAGAAAATCAAGAAAGTACTGTGTAGAATCCCTCGTGAGTGCCTCTTTCTCCATGTATTATAACTTGGTTTGAGCTGTGTTTATGTAAGATGAGAGGAAAGTGGCTAAGTTGTTTTTGTGGATTGTGAACAAGAGAAATTCAGGACCAGATATATGACAAGAAGGCAGGCACAGTGACCATCACTGTGTTATGTTGCAGTCCTGAAAAGATCAAGGAAAAGATAATCTGTGAGGGAGGTGAAGCTGTCAAGAGCATTGAGATCAAGGTTCCAGAGAAACCCAAAGCAGCACCAAAGAAACCCGAAGAACCACGGAAACAACCGGACTTGACACAGGGAGCAGATGATGGCAATGGCAATGACAATCCCAAAGGACCACGCAAGCCGAAAAACCTTATTGTTAAACCATCAAAACAAAACGAACCAGAGATGCTGAAAGTGGTTAATGTTGAACCAGTAGACCCAAGGACATGCTGTCCTGAATGCTATCGAGGGATCAGTGGAGGTCCATGTTATCGTGACTATGGTAGGCCGGCACCCCCAAGTTATGAAATTTATGGAAGGCCAGTGCATGATAGTTGGGGTGGCAGCGGCGGCGGCTACCATGCGTTCAGATGTGAATATGTTTGTGAAGATAATCCCTCGTCATGCACCATCATGTGAAAGCATCAAGAATGCCGATGCTTGAAGACGATCTCCACCAAAAATCACTGGATTTGGACATTAGTATGGTGTCGATATGATCAAATTAAACAATAGGAATACGCATGCTCAAGTCATAACCTCGTCTAGCTGGCTCTAGTTGTCTATGTTGAAATGTTGGGTCAATTTTGGCTACATATTGGGTCTTTTTTTTTTTAATTTATGAAAGGTATTCGAACCAGTATTGTGATTAATTTAAATGATTTACTGAATATCTTGCAAATTCAATAGGTATATAAAATACCGTGAGGGTGATAGACGTATATATCAGGGCTCGAACCCAAGTATAATGGAAGAAAATAAGTCTTTTTCATTAATATACCCAACACTAGAATGCATTGGATCTTTTTTTTTTTTTATTTACGTGGGGTGTCTGGGTTCAGCTTACACACACCACGACTAATCCACACGGCCCACTGAACATCCTGCAAGTCCAATGAACAGGTAAAGTACCGCGAGAGTGACAGATATATATAGTAAGACTCGAATCCAGATGCGAAGGAAGGGAACAAGCCCCCACCACTAAACTAGAACCTTATTTACATTGGGTTTTCTTTCTTAGATTTATGGGTTTCATGTGATACAATATGATTGGTGATGTAGGAACAATATTTTATTACAAGAGTTTTTAGGATTATTTTTTTAATAAATTGATGTAAGGGATTTTAAAGCTTCCATAATCATTGTTATTTGTATGGTGATGGTGCGTCTCAGCGTCTCCTTTCCATTCACTTTCTATTAGCTTTTTTTAATTTCTGACAACTGGTCAATGTCTGCTGTTTGTAAACACTATCAAGCTTCACAGTCAGAAACTGAGGTCATGCATGATCCATCTAGATAATGAAATTTAATTGGCTTAACTGTTTATATTAGTTACTCACTCTTATATCAAAAATCCGGGGAATTAGTCAAATATACTAGTTTGTTTAATTTGGCTAATTTTTTAGTTTAGCTAGAGAGCATCAAATATAATTGGGGGTAGCTTATTTTAGTCTACAGAGAGCAACAATAAAAAAAATATGATCATTTATCATCACGAAACTTAAAAAAACAAATAATATCACTTATAACTAACCAATTTACTATTAAATTTATTAAGCCAACAAGAATACAATAAAAAAAAATTGACCAGGTAATGCATATATCTACAATGAGTTCTAATCTTGTCATGTGAGCCGCGATCTAAACTCAATGTTAATATAAATCTAATTTATAATTAAATCATCTTTTTATACGACGAGACAACATCACTTAGACTTCAAATTAGAGAATATTCAATGCCTGCTTTCTTCCTAGCTCCTTTTAATTTTGTATTTAAAATTATGTTTGAGTGCGTTTTAAAATTATATTTGGCTTGAAAATGTATTAAATTGGCTTCTGTGGTGTTAACCCACAACAGTATAAACTGCATAAGGTGTTACTTGCAGCCTTATTTTAGCCTCCGGGCTTCTAGCCAGTCCTGGTATAGCCATGTGAGCGATGGGCTAATTAATACATAGATAATGGATTGGTCCATGGCTTTCCTTGGATTCTCTACCTTCATGAGACAGCAGAGTAGAGGCACAAACTTGTAATTAGATTCATGTGATTATCACGCGTCCCCTTATAAAATCTAGAGGTAAACATTGCAGCCTTCGAAATGATTAACAAAAGAGAAGGTGAGACGTGTCCATCAAAGCCAGCGCATGCAGGTGCATGATTGCAGGGTTAAATTAGATAATGTAAATACTGTAAGACCGATTATTTGAGTCAACGTCCAACATCAACCATTGGATTCAAATCCTGTCCGTTGTCAATATTTATAGAAAATACCACAATCACTGATAATATTATAGATATATACAATTCATCAACAGTTGATAACTACTAACGAAATCATTGAAAGATGGTGCGAATTCCAAAGAACTGGGTATTAAATGCATATTTTTTTTAGATTAATGTGGGTGTCCGGGTCAGCTTGCGCGTACCATAACTAATCCCACGAGCCCTGAAATTAACGACCGGTATTAAATGCATATTTGACAATATACAGTTATGCATATTTGACAATACATAGTTACTAATAAAAATATTATTGGATTATTAAAAAAATATGACGTGTAATTAAAAAATTTATTGTAAAATTTAAAATTTACTAATATATTTTTTAAATATTATTAACAAAATAATTAAAATTATTATTATTTAAATGTTTGTTGGTAAAACTGTGCTATATATCCCAACAATCATCTCTTCCTCTATTCTTAAGAATATGAATGGTCACATGTGTTAACTTTAACTAGTCGGATTCAAATTAATAGTTAGATCTTATCAATGGAAAGTATAACCCACCCACTTGTAACCATTATCTAAATACTAAAAATATTAATATTGCATCTAAGGCATTGGCTCAGCGGTGGGTGGCGTCTTGCGCCTTCCGCTGCCATGGGTTCGAGCCTTGGAATTGCATGCTTGTCAGCCCCGCGCTGCCTTACCTGCCTGCTGGGTTTGCAGGGTGTTTAGTAGGCCGTGGAGATTAGTCGTAGTGCGCGCAAGCTAGCCGGACACCCCACATTAATAAAAATAAAAATAAAAAATATTAATATTAAAATGTTGCTCGATTATCGTAGTAAATCTAAACAAGGTGACATGTCCGCGCTGGTTTCTCATTTTTTTCAAAGTTTCAACAGGGAATCAAATAGCTTTGGCCCCCTGCGTGTTATAGAATCCTAGACCATACCATTGTGGGAACATATAATAGGGAAAACAGGTCTTAAATCTATGTACTGCCCCCAGAATTTACCAAGAGACCAGCCAACCAAAGATCGAGTGCATGTCGCCAACCGGTCACACATGTTGCCGGCGACACCCACGAACAATCCTAACCTTGCAACTTAAAAATTAAAACGTCCCTCAAGTTTGTGCTATTAAAAATTTACATAATTATTAATTATAGAATTTATAGAATTAATTAAATTACATATAAATTTTAACCTGAACATTCATATTAATTAAAAAAAAATTAAAACTCCCTTGTGATTTCACATTCCTAGATACAGCACGAATTGTTGTTTAATGCCAGAAATTACTTAAAATAGAGAGTTCTTGTGCATACATCTCTGATTTCCCGGCCATCTCCAAGATATTCATGGATTATCTGTGATGTCCTCGACTAGGTGAGCCAAAATGCATATTAAGAAGGACTTGAGCACACTGATGTACTGGTATTTTCCAGCATTTACCCACGACAAACAGAGCAGTGCCCATGTTCATGCAGGCGAGAGGTGCTCTAGAATAATACTAAACCACTTGCAAATTGATGTGAAAACTGCAACCTCTATTCGTAGCTTGCAAAGCAATAACATTTCACTGAAAAAAATAATTAGAGCAATTCACTTCTTAACATCTTAGGATTATTATTTGTGAAGGGTTCTCTATGGTGACAACATCGGTATAAAAGGGTTCTCTATGGTGACAACATTGGTATAAACCAATAAGCTTCGCTTTTTACAAAAACTAGAAGTTCAGAGCGATGTAAGCGGATCAAGCCATACCTTAACTTGTCACGTATTAAATTTAGTCATTATCCAGATTCGTTTGTGTGGGATGTTTTGGAAAATTTGTTGAAATTTGATTAATGGATATGTAATCTTCTATTATAAAAAACATTAACATGCAGAGTAGAGGCACAAACTTGTAATTAGATTCATGTGATTATCACGCGTCCCCTTCTAAAATCTAGAGGTAAACATTGCAGCCTTCGAAATGATTAACAAAAGAGAAGGTGAGATGTGTCCATCAAAGCCAGCGCATGCAGGTGCATGATTGCAGGGTTAAATTAGATAATGTAAATACTGCAAGACCGATGATTTGAGTCAACGTCCAACATCAACCATTGGATTCAAATCTCGTCCGTTCTCATTTCATAAAAAGTTAAAAAATATTTATAAAAAATATCACAATCACTGATAATATTGTAGACATGTACAATTTATCTATAATTGATAATTATTAATAAAATTACTGATAAATAATGCGAATTTCAAAGGATAATGTATTAAATGCATTTATGATAGTGTACAGTTATCAATAAAAATATTAATGAATTATAAAAAATATAAAAAATAATTAAAAATTTTATTGTGAAATCCAAAATTTACCGATATATTTTTTAAATATCACTAATGAAATAATTAAAATTATTATTATTTAAATATCTATTAGTAAAATTGTGCTATAAATCTCAACAACCATCCCCTTTAATTTTATTTTTTCATCTACTCCATTATCAATCTTTTATATATTTTTTCTTCTCATTTCCTTCAAATCTTTTATTTGTTTTACTTGTAATCTCTACTTAAATTTTCACGAAATTAAAATATATGTATTTCCTCTACATGATTTTACTTCAAGCTTTTTTTTTTCTTGTTTTAGCTATTGTTATTTTTGTTATATTGTATTTTTATAATGAAAATAAAGTTTTGAAATAAATATATTATTAAGGTAAGCATTTTTCATTCCTAAAGTCTATAGTTTTTTTTTAATTTATTCAATATATTTTATTGTTTGTATTGTCATAATAATTGAATAATTTGTTAAATTTTAATTGTTATTGTTGAATTTACCTTGTACTGAATATATAAGAATAAATTTAATTATTCTCTCTTGATTTTACTCTATTATTGTATGATAGGTGTTTAATTATGTAATTAGTAATTAATATATAAAAATATTTTATTGTGTGATACTTAATAAATCTAGACCTAAGCTTTCTTCATTCTTGAAGGCTTTACAAGAAGTCAGTGCTTGAAGATACCATCTATTATATGGTTAGTAAGGGATACGTCCTTCAAATAGACATGATTGTTCGAGCATCCAAAAAAGGCTATCAAATATAAGAGGTAGTGTCATATTTCACATTCTTGTGGTTTATCATTAAAATCAATATACACTACCTGTAATCAACACAAGTACGGGTGCTCAGTCGTACTCATAATTC